GAGATGCATAGAAAAACAGCCAAACATTAGGCTGATTTCAAAGAATCCTGCTGAAGAGAGAGAGGAGAGATTCTAGGAGCCAGAGGGTTCAGGACATCACAAGAAAAAACACAGAATCAACTAACATGGGATCATAGGAGCTCACAGAACCTGAACCAACAATCAGGAAGCCTGTGTGGAACTGATTTAGGCCCACTGCATACATGTGGGGGTTGTGTAGCTTGATCTTCTTGTAGAAATCCCAACAGTGGAAACAGGGACTGTTCCTAAAGTTTGGGTGGCTTTGGGGACCTTATTCCTCATACTGGACTGCCTTGCCCAGCCATAAAACAAGGAGAGGTGCCTATTCCTACTGCAACTTGATATGCCATGTTTTGTTGATATCCGTTGGAGGCCTGACCTTTTTGAACAGAAATTGAGGAATACAAGAGGGGGAGGGGCAGAGAGGGGGTGGGAGGGAGAAACTACAGTTGGAAAGTAAAATAACTAAATAAAATAAAAACTAAAAAATGTTAAATATAATGGGATTTGTTGAGTCCACTTAGATGTGGGACCATCTAATAGAACATACCAGGTCTTACCAGTTACGCTGACTTTAAAAATACTGAATTTCCCTCACTAAAGAGCCATCAATTGTCAATAGCTCAGTATCTGGAGTCAGGGACTCATGAGTCCCTCCCACTCCATGCTCACCTGTATTTTCCACTGGTGTCATGAGATCTACTTTTCTAGATTCCATGTGTGAGTAGTAACAGGCAGAATTTGCATTTCTAAGTTTAACTAACATGTTTTAAAATAAGTCTCACAGTTCTACTTGGTTTTTCTTATTTTTTTTTTTTAACGAATGGGAAAGCCTCCTTCTTTTTCCATTTTTGGACTGGATAATATTCCATCATGTAAACTCACCATATTCTGTCATCTATCATCTAATAGACACTCAGGTGCTTCCATTTCTTGTCTAGTAGAAACAATGTTTCAGTGAACATTGGAGAACAGAACACCCTTTGGCATAGTGAGTTCGTTTTTCTTACGTGTATACTTGGAGTTGGAATGGCAAGATAGTATTGTAGCACTTTTTATTGTTTAAGGAAACTACATAGTGTTTGCAATGTCGGTTTTCACTCCCACCGGCAGTTTCCCATGTGTCCCTTTGCTCTATTTACCTCACCAGCATTTGTTCATGTAATTATGATAAGTACCATTATTAATAGGATGAAGTGATAACTCATTGTAGATTTGATTTTTTGTATCCAGAACAAGTGAACTTTAACACATTTGCATGTATCTATTAGTTATTTGTATTCTTCCTTTTCAGAAATACCCATGTCTGTTACCTCCACTTTTTTTGTAAGTATATTATCTCAATTGGATGTTTCTGATAATAGGAAACTGATGAAATGTTTCAGAAATTACTTATTTTTAACATATAGAAGTAATTGTTACCATTTTAATGGTTTTAGGCATCAGACTTCAGTTATAATGAGTTTATACAGGATGCTTACAAGAATGGAGCTTTCTCCATTTCTCAGAATAATTAAAACTCTCAGTGAGTTTCAATTCCTTGAGTGTCTTTTTCTTAGCCATTTGTGTCTCTTAATTTCAATATGACAAAACTCATTTTTACATTTCAAATAAGCCAAGTCTCCCGGAGATACATTCTTTCATTTTTTGATTGTTTGAGAGTATCTCTCTTTCTTTCTCATTTGTGACTGTTACCTCTGCTGGTATACTATAATTATTAGATATTTTCATGTGTTTGTTCTATGAAAATACTGTATGCAAGGCTTCTCTCTCCTATGTTCCTTCTCAGAAGTCTATGAAGAATGAATTGGAGTTCCTCTAATTTTTATATGTTGCTCTTTCCCTGTGAACTTTAGTATTTTAGATTTTTCCTGTGATGGCTAGATTTTAAGGAGGCATAAGTTATATAAGCTAGACTTATTTAAATTTGATTACTGACCTTTGAAGTTCCTACCATGTATATCTGTAGCTCTTTCTTTCTTTCTTTCCTTCTTTCTTCCTTTCTCTCTTTGTTTCTTTTTTTATTTCTTCTTTTCTTAATTTTTAAACATTTTGTAAATCTTTTTTCATTGAATAAACTTTATACTATTTTGATATAAAGTTAATTCTTGAATTTCTAAATTCTATTGAACACCATTATATTGAACACATGGTCAATTTTAAATGTCCAAAAATGTATATAAACTTTCTTCATTCCTCTCTGATTGAATATTTTTGGTCAGTCTTTCTTTGATGAAACTCATTCATTTGTCTCACTGATTTATTCTATTATTGACATAGTCTATCACTTTTTTATTTTATTGACTGTAGTTTGATATCAATGATTTTGGCTCAGTTTTATTAATTACGTCCAACTCATTTTTAAATATTACTAGTAAAACATTTGCATTATTCTTTCAAGTTCATTGACCCTTAAATACCAGCACACGTACACACACACACACACACACACACACACACACACACACACACACTCACACTTAAATTCTCTGTGATATCTTCTATATTGTTTTCTCCTTGACAGTTTCTTATACCTTATTTCAAGCACTATGTGAGGTCACGTTTTGAGATTATTAATGGACTATAATGTGATCAAAACAAAGGAGAATTATGCATGTATATCCACTTTAGTTGGTAAGCTTTGTTTATGCTTATCTTAATGAATTTCTGCTCTTCAATGAGCCTATAATCACTTCCACACTTTCATCCTTTTGATTATATCTACTTATAGGTTTTCTATGAAACTGCTGTGCTTGTGCTATTATTATTTTGCCAGTTTTATATATTCAGTTTTGTCCTAATTTCACTATTGATACTTATTATGAATAAGCAATCAATGTGTCTAGTGTATAGTCCTTTTCCATAAGCTTCTGTTTGGATCCACAGAGGTACAGAAATCTTTCCTGTTGTCACAAATCTATGGCTAATAAAACATATGTATACACCAACATTATACCTATGGCCCTGCATATGTCCACCCTGCCATGAATAAGAACAACCTGAGTTCAGGTTCTGGGGAGGCCAGAACAGTCATGAATGATTTAAATAAGGCCCCACTAATGAGAGAATGCCACTTTTTAAATGGACCCATGGCACAAGACAACTGGAAAAAGCTGTAGGTGATTGTAAATAAAATAAATGCCCAACACATTATAAATACATATCTTTTAATCACAGCACTCTAGAGGCAGAAGCAGGTGGGACTCTATATAAATTTGAGCACAACCAGAGTTATTCTGGTAGTTTGACTGAAGATTGGCCTTAAGCTCACAGGGTATGTCCTTATTTGAAAGGATTATGATGTGTGGCCTTGTGGGAGTAGGTGTGCTCTTACTAAAGGAAGTATGTCACTGAGGGTGGGCTTTGAGGTTTCAGAAGCTCACGCTACTCCCAGTGGCTCACATGTTCTTCCTGCTGTCTGTGGATCCAAATGTAGAACTCTCCTCTCCCTCCCCAGCACCATGTCTACCTGTGTGGCACCATTCTCCCTACTACGATAACAATGGACTAGACTTCTGAACTGTAAGCAAGCCCCAATTAAATATTTTCCTTTATAAAAGTTGCTATGGTCATGGTATTTCTTCACAGCAATAGAAGCCCTAACTTAGGTATGTAGTAACACCTGTCTGGAACATAAATAGGTGTGGATTTTTGTGTAATTTATATTTTCCCTTTCTTTGGGAAGGGGAAAAATTGGTTTAGTAGAGTGACGCTGGGTGTATCTACCACTCTATGGAAGGCTTCACATTCAAGAGTAGTTGACCAACATATCATGAACTCGAAAATTCATGCTGCATCAGAGATGCATCAAGAACCATGCTGTAACTGGTGATGATACACATGGAAATTCAGTCTAGTCACAAAAGTTCCCATCTGATGGAAGCACAGTTTGCCACTCTGTCTCTGAGTAGTTGCTTCTGCTTGTAGCTTTTGGATCTACCTACAAGGGAGGGGTACTACTAATTTATAAGAAAAAAATCTTTTTGTACTTTTTATGATGTTTTACTAAATAAGAGCTTTGTTTCTTCTCAAGTGGCTGAAGTTGGGGGTAGAGTGATAGAGCCAGTGTGTTCTTCATGGGCAATGCTATTTATTGTAACATTTGAATCTATAGTTATCCACTCACCAATAATGACTGTGCAGTTTGCTTTGCACAAATTTTTACCATGGCTGCCCATTTTCCAATTAAAAGCATATAGCCTTAATTTTAATCTTTCTCTCGTACCCAGATAGGAAGAGCCTCTTATTTGAAAATTAAATAATTAACTAACAGGAAATTTGTGAATTAGCTTAACTGAAATCTCATAGATAATATAATATGATCATTTGGAATAATATTAAAACATCACATTTTCAATACAAAAAATGCATGCTCCGTTCTCTCAACTGGTTTCCTTAGATACATTTGCGTATTATTAACTGTTGATCTTGCAGTATCTGTGAAACAGCTGCTATAAAATCATACTCTGTAATTATGCTTTTCTGTCTCTGTTTTAAAAATTAATATAACCACTATTAATTCTGATCTGTAAATTAAACAACTTGCTAACAGGGAATTTGTGAACAACTTTCATTGAAAACACATTGTTAACATTCATATCATTATTGAAATTAAAATCAAAACTTTGAAAATACAGCTCAAAAAGAGGTTTTATTATGACTCTTATTAACTGCTGTGAAAAACTAATGTTTGGACAGTAATTTATAACGTGCCCATCAAACCCTGCTCAATGATTATTTCATGCTAGAAATTTTAATGTGATTTTATAGACATGACTCTGAGAAACTTGAGTTATATAAAAACTGATTTGATAAATTTATTAAATAAACAGCAGAACAATGAAGTACTTGGACCTGGATTTTGACATTTATCAATTGTACAATCATAGAGATTTGGCTTTCATTTAAAGACAGTAAAAGGAATCCATAAAAGAATGGAGTCTACCTCTCGGCTGAGCTGGGCTCCGGGGTCTGGCGTGGGAGCTCCCCGGAGAAGTCGGCCTCCCTCTGCGGTTCCCGGGGTGGTCTCTGGTGGCGGGCGTCCTCCCTGGCCCGGCGTGGGGCCTTCGCGGCCATGCTCCTTCCCGCCAGCCCTGGACTAGTGAGTTGCAGGTGACTGAAGTTTCAAGCTGCAGAATGCATAGCACCCTACAAGGTTGGCCATGATGAACACACTGCAGTTAAAGGAGGCTAAGGTCCTGGATGTTCAGTTTGTGGGAGATGATGATGTTCGCAATCACATTTTTGATAGGGAAGGAGGAACTAAATTAAAGAAGGAGAAAGCTCAGCTTTTAGTCAATCCACAGAAAATAATAAAGAAGCCAGAACGTGAATTGGAGAAGAGTGACCAGGAAGTCTTTAAGGATCAGAACTATGTGGAAGTTTTGGGAAGAAATATTCAAGAATCCTTGAAAAATGGCTCTTCTGTAGATAGTGGGAATAAAGTTTATTCTTTTCAACATAGAAAACACTCTGAAGAGATGGCTAAATTAGCTTTAGAACTAGCAAAAAAGCCAAGAAAAATTGTTCCAGTTAACTCAAAGAATGTTCCTGAAATTATGAAAAACGCTCAGAAAAGCAAAGGGCACTCCACTTCTGAGAAAGTTCAGCTGGAGAACAATAACAAAACTGAATTTCTGTCAACACCACCTCGTAGTCTAAGAAAAAGAATAATTGTGCCAACGTCTCATTGCGACAGTGAAAGTGAATATTCTGCTTCCGACTGGCTTTGGTATGAACCTATGACATACAATCCTTACTCTGAAGAGACGTCCTATGAGAACTCAATTCTGGTTAAACAGTCTGGATCTCTGCCACTTAGTTCTCTGATTCATGTCTTACGAAGCCTTACCCCTAATGTAAGGACTTGCTTTTCAAGACTTTTACCAGCAATGTCGGGAGGCATTCCTCGTGAACAGTGATCTCACACTGCGAGCCCAGCTGACTGAATTTCGGGATCACAAACTCATAAGAACGAAGAAGGGAACTGATGGTGTGGAATATTTATTAATTCCCGTTGACAGTGGAACATTGGCTGATTTCTTGGAGAAGGAAGAGGAAGAGGCTTAGACTGTGTCCTTTTAGGTGGAAAAGTCATTGTACCCCAGCTGCTGCTCCTCTAGCAAGAATGCTGGTTTACATCCAACATTAGATCATTCTGTCCAGCATACAAGATTTACTATTGAAGGGGCTTATCATCAATTTGAACTTTGATTAGCCTGGCTGGTATACTGTCTCTAATACTATGCAGTGGTCATCGAGTTGGGAGGGAAATATGCCTTTAATTTATTACTTCTCTGGAGACTTATTGCTGGATGAACAGTATGCTCAGGGATTATTTGGAAGTGGATATTTTTGGATTATTTAATATGGAATGCTATCCCTAATTTTTGAGGGCAGTTTAACTCCCGAGCTGAATTACTAGAAGTGCACTTGTTTCAGATCAGTACAAAGGTGGGGTCACACAGAACTTAGGAGGAAGGAGGTGGTTCGTCCCCTTTTTCTGAAATGATGAAAACATTTCAGAAGTCTCTCCCTGCAGATGTAGGCTGTCTCAGCTGAGACAGTGGGAGAAATGCAAGGAATAGACAGGGCATGTGCCCAGTCTCGGAAGCACATTTAAAATAGTTAGTATTTATACCGTGACCTTGATTTTTATGATACGAACGAGAAGTCAGACTAAGAAATAAAATCCTGATTTACATGTCAGTAATTGTTTTCAGGACAATAGAAAATATAAAGATTTCCTTATTCTTGTACATTGACGTTTATTTTCTTAACTAGCACGCAGGAATAGCTGGCCCATCCCTTTCCTGCCACTGTTCAGGAGTCAGAGGCAGGCAGACTGCTTCTCTCCTTCAGAACAACAGCAGCAAGACATGAGCTCACCTTTGTAATCCGACACAGGAAGATGGAGGCAGGGAAAGATGAGTTCTAGCCCAGTCTGAGCTACAGTGACGCCCTGCTTCAACAAACATTCAATAAACACACAGTGATACACAGGAAAAAAGAATGGAGTCTAAAGCTTGATGAACAAACAAACCTTGAAGTGTCTAAGGAGAATCTCAACATTATTTTCTTTATGGTTACTTTTACATAATTATAAAACACTCAGGCCTAAATATATGAAAGAGGTGAAATATGAATTTGAAAATATGTACTGCTCATCATTGTGAAGGAAAAATGAATGGTTGTTGGCATGCAGTGAGTGCTTGGGTCAGGTAGAAATGCTTTCATTTGCTTCCGGTGTTATTAAGAAAGAACAGACCCTAGTGAAATTATTTTTAAGTAGTTTGTAGAATAACATAAAACAATTGTACTATCAAGAAAATAAATGTCAAAGGAACTATATGAATGGCTTCAAGGGTGAGCTGAAAACTCACCAGAGAATTTCTAAGAATTCTCTTGGGTGCTGGGGATTACACCTGGCAAGTTAAGCATGCTAAGCAACTCCTCTACTGCCAAGCTAGACATCCTCAGCCAAGAATTTACAAGTAATCAACACTGCTTCTAATAGGTGAATGGATAAACAAATTGTACCATCATAAAACAAATGCTATGCCAAAATAAAAATAATTGATCAATCCATAAAATACATAGAAGACTCATATGTATGCATTATTAAGGAAAAGAACACAATGTGTAAAAGTGATAGGCCATGTTATTTCAATTGTATGACATTCTAGATACAGTAGAATAATCAATGTTTTCTAGAATTTCAAGCAATTAAATGAGGAAGGGTTAAATTAGTAAGATTACTTTCTATTGTACTATAAAGATTTGTATGTGTGTGTGTGTGTGTGTGTGTGTGTGTGTGTGTAATTTTATGAATACTAGTGACAGGAACTATGTGTTGAAAGGACAAATCTTCCTGATTTGCCAAATATTTTTTTGTGCTACGAGATGTCCTGTGTATACAAGTTTATTTGAAAATAAGGTATCACATGTTTGGTTTACTTATTAAGACATACTTCTCCACTGAAAATGCTTCAAAATCAGTTTCATCAATTATTATAAGGTAAAGAGACACAGTGATGGTTATAAGGAATAAAAACAGGAATTTTAAACATGACAATATATACATATGAAAAAGTCTGTTGCAAACAGAAAATTCATTTCTGATGATGTAATCAAATTTGATTCATAAACAAAGAACATGCATATGCCCATTTATTTTCTCATTCACGTTTAGTTAATGTAGGCCATTTTACATTTGGAGAGAGAATAGGCCACATAGCAAGGAGATCAATAACCACTATGTCAGTAATATCCACAATACCAACTGATTTGCTTCCTGGTGACTGTACAACTATGAAAAAATAAATCAGTGAATGATTCCTACTTCATCAATAAGTTAAAAGAACAGTAGAGTTTCAGCAAGCTATCAAAAATTTTTATGTGATTAAAGGGCAGTATAGGAGGAAATAAATAACTAAATATAAAAATACTCTCAAAATACTCAGAATGTTTTGGAAATGTTCTTGAGGAAACAGAAAATAAGATTTTGGGGACAAGGATAAATTTTCTGAGCAATAAATAGGAGGATCTAAAGTAGAGAAGAGTAATCTGGGAGGATATTTTACCCGCAGACGCATGTACTCAACACCATAATGCTCCTCAGATACCTACCAGGGCCTGCCATATCCAGAATTTATACCATGTTTGTGGACTTCTTGGTGATAAAGGCTATGTTCATGTGAATTCAACACACTCAACTGAAAATAGAAAAGGAAATTGTTAGAGAGAGAATAATAATATTCATTTGGAAATTCAAACCTTTTTGTTTCTGTAATGAATGTGTAGTGTAAGAAATACATAATGGAGTGAAAGCTCATTTGTTTTAAAGTACTTTACTTCTTTTCTCTGGGGAGGTGTGGGAAGATCTTTCCTGAAGAGGAAGATCATTAGTGCAAAGAAGCAAGAGGCTGAGATGGCCTACAGTCAGACTTAATAAAGAAAAAAAGAAAAATAATCAGCACTTATTTGAACACTAGTTTTAAATTAGTTTATAAAGTAAAGGTCAGATTCACTAGTAATAATAGAAATTAATATCTAGTCCCTCTTGTCTTCATATATCTGACTAAAACAAGCCTTTCTTTTCCATCACTGAGCTACCTTGACCTATAAGCAGAGAATGATTTTTACATTCTGCACAATATAGCTCAAGGCCTATTTCTCAAATTAAAGATCTTCTTAGAAATAATTAGACATTTATTTTTCATGTGAAGTTTGGGATTCAGAAAAGTATACTGGTTTTCTGTCTGTATGAAATACATGGGTCCACAGTGCAGATTATATTTCTGTTTCGCAAAGTAAAAAGCCGGAAGTCATGAAAAAATATCTGACAGGAATCTTTGATTTAAAATGCTACTATTTCACATTCCTCATTATCAAGAAGTTGGCAGTTGTCAAACTAACTTGAGCAGTCAATGGGCTTTGCAACTGACAGATGTATCTTTGTGGGAGAGGGAAGGAGTGATAGAATTCACTAGAAGAAATTCACATGGATATAAAATAAAGAAAAATGATTAATCTCAGTGCTTAAATGTACAAAACAACATTTTCACCCAAAAAACAGTAGTGAATTAAAAAATAACTTGTAAAGGGCACAATTTCTCATTTTATTTTGCAATTACAAGATGTACATACTTTTAAACACTGTGCACACACTTGAGTGCTTAGTATACTAAGGAAGGGTGTCTTAGGATGTACTTAAATTAGTTACTCACGTGTAATGTGATGTAGAGGAGTAAACTTCAGAAAACAGTATTTACCAAAATATTTATGTTGACATGCTTTAAGGAAGCACAATTTTCTAAATGTAAAACATGACCCAGTGTGTAAGTTATAACTGCTGAAAGGAAAAAAGTAATATTTCAGAACAAATGTTCAAAGAATGAATGGGTAAAATCCTAAGGGGTTCACTAAATAAACAAAGATAATTCAGAAGAAACAGAAACTGGAAAGAATATTATAAGGCACTCTTTATATGGAAATATACAAAGCCTCACTAATGAGGAAACTACCATAGTGATATTTTATCTCTATGTATGTGTATTGTTTGTGCATGAGAAAAGACTTCAGAAAATATTAGTGTTCTCCAAAGGAATGAGACCAACACTATATCTGTATAGTGGCTTGATAAATACATTCAGGCATAGATGTATCTTTATACACTCTATATAGACTGAATAGGAAAAGTACCTAGAAAAAAGTACAGAACAATGTTGATTAGTCACTTTGCTCACCACTGTGGAAAATATTCGACAAAACAACAGGTTTGGCAGGGATATGTGTTTGGCTTGCAGTTTCCAAAGTGTCAGTGCATTGCAGTGTGGGGGCATTCTGGGAGACAAAGCAGTTCCCATCAAGTCGGAGAAGGAAAAGAGAAGGTGGAATGAAGCACTCTGTTACCTTCCTCCTTTTTGTTCTGTTTTTGACCACTTCCTATAAGAACAGGCCACCTGCATGTATTGTTGGTCTTTAGCAAAGATAACCCTCCCTGCAAATGCTCTCTCAAACACACCTACAGCTCTTCCCCAATCTCTTAGTTAATTAGAAAATGAAAATTTAAGATCATAGTTTATTTTGTGGCTCATAAGCAAATTATGAAGCATATATGATAAATTGTCACGAATCAATTAACCTGGAAAATTAATATATAAGATACAAAACCTAATTACAAGTATAAAACGTAAGTAATGACAACAAAAGGATATGTAAAAAAAAGTATCAGGACGTAAGTGGCTGAAAAGATGGTCATCACAGAAGCTGTTGGGGTTCATGTACAACAGACGACAGAAAAGGTTCCCTAATGAAGTGCTTTGTGAGAACAGTCTTGAATTTAAAGTTGTCCAGTGGTAGGTAGAATGATTCAAGTGTATCCAAAAAGTGCGAAATTCTGAAGGTGAGAAATAAATTT